CATTCACATTCGTACTGCCGCATATTATTAACGGTGTTCACTCTGCTTCTTAAATTGTACTCAGACGCTCCGCGCGTGGAACAAGTGACTCCGATTATTCTTTTTCCCATTGGCTCCGTTACGATCACATTTTGACCATTGCCCGACGGAGCAGGTGTATACGGAGCACTCTCTTCGCTGGTGTAGCGACACGAAGTCATATTTCCCGGGCCTGTCTTTCCTGTCATTCCGTCAAGCCCATTCTCGCCCTTGATGCCAATTTGTGGCCCGAGAAAGCTACTGATGTTAAATTTCGTATCGTTGAAGACGAACACCCGATAGCTTGCTTTTCTCTCCAGTTCGGCTATCTCGGCAGCTTGCTTGAAATCGTCCTTTAGCAGCTTCGATATAGATTCATCCCTCCTTTTCACCTCTGCGCCTAATTTGCTGAAGTTGGATTTGAGTTTCTTAATTTCTTCCCGCAACCGCTCCTCAACTGGCTTAGCAACAATAGACGAATCTGATGGGTCTTGCTCCGACACTAGATTTTTCTGACACACGTTACACTCTGAAGTAGTAATCACCCCAGCCATAAGAAAGACAACCAGAAGAAAAGCCGCCAAAGCCAAGAAAAATGAGGAAAAAATCACAATCTTGAAGATATTTGGAAGCACGTTTCGATGATACCCATCTGCAAAGTCATTTTCGCCCTTTGATGATCTCTTGGGCCTACTACAATTGTCTCCTGTCGTGCTGGATCCAGGGATCGGTCTCTCTCTATTTCTGCTACGAATATCAACGGGTTCTTCATATTGATGGTTGGCCATAGGATCGTCTGTAAAAGTCCGATCTTCCATATTTTCATAAGAAGGCTTCGGTTTTTTCGGCGGAGTTCTTACTTGCAGTTCAATGTCGCCATGTGACATGTTTTCGTCCGTTCCAGTTGGCAAATACCCCTTCTTTGGAAACAGACCCGTACGAGAATCCACGCTAGTCATGAGAGCGGTCTTATTTTCCCTTTTGCAATGACGTAAATCAAAATAGTCAAAAATAGCGAAATCAGATCTGTTTTAAAAGCGAAATGCCAACCGAAGCCGTAAAGAAAGCAGAATCAACTGACAATCACCGTTTTCATGAGAAAATATTCTGGAGGTCAAAGCAATAACGGAAGTGACGTCATATCCGAGAACAGGAGTAAACACGAGGGCGTCATGCAAAATCATAGTGGCCTGGACTTTGAAATTTTTTAACACATCTGGGCCGATCTTTGTTCGGTCATGCGATAAATACACGAGTTTCTTTTTTTTTAGTAGGCTATTTTCTTTAAATCAAGGCAAGAATGCTTTGATTCGTAAGCTGAAAACTTAACCCGTCTCCTATGCTGGCTATAGCAGAAAACCCAGTTTTTTTTATCATGTGACGATGTAATGATTATATGGTCCTATCAGGGCGAATATTAAAAGGTTGCAACCTTTATCCGCCCCGGGTCCTATTCCCCAGGTGCAGCCTCGATCTCTGGAAACGAGATTGAAGCATATCCAGGCATGTACCGAGATAGCTCGATCATAAGAATACATACGAATACCGCTGACTGACCACCCAAATCGCATAATGACGTCAATTTATTTTTTAAACTACACCAGCAAAGTGAATTCTGGTAATTGCAGTCAAATGGCGTCAACTCAACATCGTCAAAATGGCCCTTTAGGAAGGGTCTCGTCTCTGACCCCTAGGGAGAGAAATTGTCTCTAGAATCAGTTAGCCGTTAGGGTTTTAATTTGCTTTCTGAAATTGAGTCTGCCTTTTTATCATTTTTTCTCCGGAAAGTACCTGTTCAGGTCTGCAATACAGAAAAAGGAATTAAAACTGCAGAAACATGCCGCTCTGAACCACACCTGAATCTTTCCGAGGAATGTTATTCGGGGCTCCCGGATTCGTTAAAACGAACGCCCTAACCCCCGTTCTTTGCTGCGGACAAAAACTGACCTTCTCTCATTTCGGGCTAACCGGGCTAAACCGGGTATAACTCTGGCCCTGAAGAAGGCTAATTTTGTTAACGAAATGTATTGGCCTAAAATATACCAGCCCTTTGCCGTAATGTTAATGTGAGCCCTGCATTCAGTTTTGTTTTTAAAAAATATGTATACATATTTTTTAAAAACAAAACTGAATATGTAACCATAGCATTTTCCCGTTTTAGTGATTAATTCAATGCACCCCTGGGGCGCTTTCCATTTAGTCAAAATTTCCGGAATTTTCGGTTCGGCCGTAAATGGAACACGTTTCGTCGGTTCGTCCCACTGGAAAATTCCCAGAAAAAGTGGAAAATCTAAAAAGGTGGGCCCGTTTTCCCGGTTGGAATTTCCGAACGGAACTCAGTCGTGTCCCATTTACGTTTCTCGTAGTTTGTACCAGTTCCAGGTCCACGGTCGGGCACCGCGACGTGCCGGGGTTTACGACCAAATGGACAAATGGAACAACTTTTTACCAATCGGAAATTCCACTTTTGCTCCCACCGAAATTTCCGGGTTTTTTCCCTAAATGGAAAGCGCCCCTGGTTTCCATTTGCTGCTTGTTGCAAACTACTACAGTACAAACACCTTGGAATTTTGCAGGTTTTTAAAATACCAAAAATATTAGACAGGTGCTTGTCAAAAACTTTGTTGACACACCTCTCCCCCCCCCCCCCCCCCGCCGTTCGCCCCGATGCTAAATATGCTCCCAGGAGACACCGCGCGTATCACTAAATCAACATGGCGGCCTTCTTACAGAAAAGAATGTTCTCATTCTTCGTTCGTTCTAGCGGCCTAGTTATCCGCCAGTCTTTGCCGGGAAGACATAATCCAAGTCTTAAGAAGAAAAAGGGCCCAACCGTTGTTAACAAGAAGAAAAATAAGCCGGTATTTCGCAAACCGACCGAAGTTGTTCCGCCCGTGGACAGCGAGTCCTTACTAAATCCTGCGTTACTAGAGGCAACAAGAATAAGAAAACCAGTCAAGTTATCGTATGAAGAGCAGGAGAGAAGAACTTTGTTGTTAAAAGAGTGGTCAAGGTACAAAATGAAGCAACATAAGGAAGAACTGCAGCGTATTCAAGAGCTGCAACGCTGTCGCGAAGAAGCTTTGAAAGAACTGAAGAAAACCTCGTTGTTTCTTTATCACGAGGCGATCAAAGTCAACCACGATTTCTTTCCAATTCAGTTTAAAGGGCCAACAGAGACGCCACCAATTCCTGGGTACATGGCACCCGATATGGAAGAAAATAAAGGAGACAAAATAAAAGTTAAGGCCAAGAGCTGAACCCAGATTGCAAATTTGAATGCATGAAAACTTGAGCAATAACTGAATCCCAAGAGAGAGTTGCTCATTTTTCTTCGATACTTCTGCAACTAAAACCACGGAAATCAAGATTGTTTAGGCTCTGGTTAGATTATTGGACCAATTGTTGTAAGGCATTTTGCAGCTTATTGACACAGCATTGAAACAAAGTTGGATTGTAAACACAACAGCACTGAAGACACCTGCAAATACATTAGTACAGTACAGTTAGTCAGATGACTTCCTTATCAGGGCATGAAATGAATGTTTTTGAAATCTGATTAGAGTAAGGCATACCCCTGCCTCACTAAAAAGGACCATGGATTCCAACAACAAGAAGTACTAATATTATTATTACTGTAATGTTACTAGATAACAGTTTCTTGCCATGCAGTTAGCCAAAAGGCTACCAAGGTTTTTCTATAATTTTCAAATGGATTGTTTTGTGTATACAACTCAATGTCAATATTTACTGTGTTTCAATAATCTGTAAATGATTACTATTTTATTCTCTAACTGAGCAACATCATCAAGGCTGTGCTCTAAGAAAAATTGAAGGGAGCCCAGTGCTCTGAACTTGTGAAGTCCGTGATTTCTAAGAATAAAACCAGGATTTTCCAGTCACACAGTAACAAAAGCTGGGCGTCTATGGGCCACCGGGCAATGCTAGAGCACAGCCTTTATCATTCTTCACATATTTTGTATATACAGGGCCCACAGAGCAGATTTTCAAGTGGGGGCGCTAGTGTGAACGCATAAGTGTGAGCAAACTAAGGGGGTCTGGGGGCAATGTCTCCTGGGTCATGGGAAGACCCAGTCTTCCCAGTCTTAAGTCTTCTGAAATGGCTATAAATGCATCTAAAACTGCCAATAGTAATATAAATTTGTAATTATTACATCGACACTTAAAACAACAAGTTACAACCTGGCCCCCACATTAGACCAAAATTTAAATGAATAGACTTTGAAACTAAACCAACACACGCAACAGTTGAGTGTCACCCAGACATTTTTAAGTCGGATTTTCTGAAAGTGCCAAAGTTGCCTTTCCAATTGTCATTAAGAGCTACAAACTCATTGGCAACACCTACGAGACAAAGTTCGTCCGTTCTCTGCTTGTGGGTATCCAATATTGTCAGATTACTGGTACTAAACCTTGTTTGTGTGGTAAGTGACAGATCTGGATAACCAAAGTAAAAAAAACAGATTACTTTACCATCTGAAAAAGTGTTGGGGAAGGGGGGGGGGGGGTGCTAAAGTCCCCCTCAGCCCCACCCCTGCATGGTCCCTGATATATGTATGAATGTGTGCATGCTGGCAACTTTTTCTTAGTTGTGTGTTTATAATAAAATTTAAACGTTAGTATCTGAATTTTTTAATATGACACTTTTAACATTTTCCAGGCACCCAGAAGAAACGGTTTGAATGTACTTGAAATATATGTGTTGTGCAAAAAACTAATGCTGTACCTTCATTTGCATTGTAATAGGGAAAAAGGAGGATGGGTTGGTAAGGATGGCTTCTTCATTAAACAAAGATGAGTTTAATTTCTTTTAATGAAAATTTAATCGTGTTCTCTTAGACCAAAAAGTAGCCTGTCTCATCATTTTTTTCTAAAAAGTTATTGTCATATTATAATGCTGTAATAGAATGCTGTCTTAGATGTAGTTTAAACACTAGAAGCAAAACAGCATATTAGTTACTGCCGAAATGTCTTTACTGATTTGCAAAAGTTGCTGATTCCAACTGAAGACCAGTCACCACTTAAAACATCATTATAAATAATTATCATCCAGAGATATAGACAAAACAAATACTCCATGTTTGCATTAAAGCTCTAAAATTGATGCATAGATGATTAATAATGTCATCTTTTCTTTCTTGGAGGCCTGTACTCTGATATATCATGGTCTTCGTAATCTTCACGACTGTGACCCTCCCTACAAGGAAAACAACAATCAAATTTAAATTATCAATAAAAATTATTAAGTGAATTACTAGTAATAGTTGACACTAGAGTTGCCCCCACTCTGTATGTCGTCGGCCAATAGTATTCTTGTAGCTCTTTGAAATATACCGATTCATGATCATATTGAAGATTTTCACACATATTCCATACAATAGGTCAGGTAAAAACAGGAAACGCAAGGTTCTATGCACGATTCGGGTCGATTTACACAGCTTTGATCAAAACATTCTCAGTTTCCAGATTTGCTTAGAAGTGGTAATTTTTCTCTTTTCACCTTTTACCTAACAGTTCATTCTATAAGTTAGAAAATAAGCCTTAGAAATTAAACGGTTCTATCAATTCATGCTCGCACATTCTAGTCATGTTTTTTTAACTATTAAGACAATCCTTAAAGAAAAAACTTTATAGAAGGACATCTGTGAGCAGGGAATATGTCACCACGGGATTTGTCTGGGCAAGGAATAAAACTAAGAACTTTTCTGGGCCGGAAGATACTGCTTTGCTAAGCAAAAGGTCAGTAAAGGTGTACAGCGGAGAGATGAAATTCCTGAAAGTCTTGAAAGGATTGATTGAAGGGAAAAGGATTGATGTATGCAAAGAAGCAATACAGAAAACTTATATGTCTTACTTATAGCATCTTCGACAATACAAGTCATCATCACAACCATGGCATCTCAGTACAGCGTTTCCATTACATATACAGCACCAAGGTAATTCAGCATCATCATCATCACTGTTTGCTTCGTAATCCTTACTGAATATACTGCTTATCTTTGATGGAGTATTGGCAGAGTTGAAATCTGTAGGCTATGAACAGATGTAAGATTGGTTAGCAATGTCAACAAGTGGAATCTACCTGAAATAAATAAAATTTATTAATATTCATTAATGAAAAATCATTAATAATTATTCAAAAATTATCAATTATCAATGATTAAGTTTTAAGTAATGTAACTGTTTAAAATTTAGTGCCAAGCATCTATTCTATTTTTAATAAGTGGCTAGTCTGCTATTATGCTAAGCCAATAAAAACTCAATTTCTCTACTGCACCCTGAAAAAAATCCAATATTCCCTAGTGCCTATCTAAAATTCTTTCTAAAGTTCCAGCATCATTATGCAGGCTACCCAGAGGTCATGTGAGATATATGTCTATGTTGTGGTTAAATTTTATCCTTGGTTTAAATTTTATTTTCTTTTGTTTCAAACTCAATATCATACATTACCATACCCCAAAACAAAGGGAAATAATATTTAAACAAGGATAAAATTGAGCCACAACATTAATTTTACACTCTTTTACCTACCCTTGATTTTCCTGGTTTTTGGGGTTTGCTTGACTTACTGGAGTTGCCTATTGTATGTTCACCTGTTTACGGAAATAAAATGTTGTTAAAAATGAGGTTTTTTTTTTCAAATTAAAACAGACATAAATATGGGATAGTTTAAACAAAAGTTTGCTTTAACTGTTCACTTAAACAGTAAAACAAAAGACTTGCTCAAGCTTAAAACAAAATAGAGAGAGAACTGTGACATATTTTGCCAAGTTCAATAAACTTGCTTTTATAAGGCCTTTACCCTTGTTAAAACAGCCCTTGAAAAGGTGCTCAACTGGGCCATGATTAGTTACTTTAAACCTTGATAAACCATAACCACACAAAAAATAATATGTACGTCTTGAAGAATAAGGGAGAAAGAGAGGAAGAACAATAAATTACAAAATATTGTGTGAGACGAAGAAAAAACATTTGGAAATTCAACCTCCCCTATACCATCCCTTCCATGGATTTGACCAGAGAGCCTTCTTTGTCAAGGGATGTCCTGTGAACACCATCTTGGAATTACAACTGATGGCTTGAGAGCTAGAGAGTAATTTCTGGGCAAAATAATTTGGAAAAATTTCCAGCTAAAAGGCTTAATTTTTTAAAATTTTTAGAGGATGTTTGTCTCCAGCCTCCCTCCCCTCCTAGGAGATCTCTAATGAACCCTGATCTCTTCTAAATTTGAACTCACATTGCTGCCTGCATATACCCACTTCAACAACAGTAGATGTCACTTTATTCACTTACCAATGTCATCAGTTTTTAACTCCAATGCTACTTCTCCCAAAATCTTTAGAAAAAAAAAAATCACATCACTGCTATTTAGCAGTTGCTTAACCTGATCTGTGTATTTTCATGGTGGACAGCAAGGTATGATACAACCCTGACAGATGACTACTTTTCTACATGCAAACCCACAGCTGACTCATTACATGTACATTCAATTCCTTTTGACATGGAAACTGCAGCAGTAGGCTGAGAAAAAAAGCCGACATTTGCGGCACCACTACTGGTTTCCCAGTGAAATGATGTCTGAGAAACAAGTGCACAAATTCAGTACCCAGATCTGGGTAGTGCTTCTGATTGGCTAAAGCAAATTTTCCACATGGCACAACCAATCAGAGGCACTACCCAGACCTGGGTAGTGACATGTCATGAGTAAGAAATTTCTGTGTTTGGTCTCATACATCATTTCGCGGGGAAAACAGTGGTAGTGTTACATAATTTTGGCCGTTTTCTCAAGCTAAAACTGTAGGAACTGGCTCTACTGGTCCATCTTAAAGAGGTACAGGTCTTGAAGAGAATGAATGGAAAATATTAATGACTCTAGGAAGGCATTACTTAGGAGGGCAGGGGCCAATACTCTAGGTTTGGTTCTCATGAGGGGTTCATTAAGGGAAAAAACCACCATTCACCTCAACCAACTATATCCCCTATAAATATCTGATTAGTAGCCACATTAATTTTACAAGGTTTCAGCCAGTGTATGTTTTTACAAATTTAACAATTTGCTGATTACAACCACTTAATGTGCAGATAACAAGTGCATCACAAAAACAAATCACAATTAAATAGGATCTGGAATTATTAAAGTGTCATTTTGTTAATGACCAGACTTCTAAGAAGAGGTACCTGTTTAAGGTATCGTTGACTCGCTGTTTCATCATCTTCATCACTGTCAAACTCCCTCCCTTTTGGTTGATTTGTAAGACCTAACATGTTAAGAAAACGCTCACAGTTGAAAGCACAATAAACAGCTCAAACAACAAACAGAAAACTCTCAAAAGTGCAGATTAGACAAAAGAAGGATACTGACATGCCGATTTTACTAAAATGTGTTCTGTCTAACAATGTCTGTAGAATATAAAAGAATTAAAGCTAAAATATTTTCCCCTCACTTGGGTCCAAGTCTTTTAGTTTTGCAAGTCTTTCTTCAATTTCTTTGTCTGTAATTCTAGTTGCGTTTTTGTCATGATCCTCATCAAGCTTTGTTTCTGCTACCATTTGCTTCATTAAGTCATCAATCTCCTCTGCTTCAGATTTTTTTGGTTTAGGAGCATTGATCTACAGACAAACAAACAAAAAAAGCTTTAAGTATGGTACGATCATTACCCAACAAAGTTAACAAATCGTCCTTTTTTAACAGCTGATAATTACATCTGAATTCTGCATTGATGTTGCTTTTCTTCCCGTGAGATTCTCAAACCTTTGTCCTATATCTTCATCAGTGACTTTTGATGCAGGAGAATTGTCTGTAAAAGATAATTTATAAAGGAGATTTTGGAAGGTGTAATTAAGAAATGCCTCATAAAAAACAAAATTAAAAAAAAACAATATTATAATAAAGTATCATTTAAAAATTCTGTTGAAAACAAACTTGAAGGCATGGTAGAATGTTAATAATTATTGGTCCACCGGATTTAAATAATATTAGACAAAAGTCTATCAAAATTCAGGAATTTTGCCCTGAGTCTCAGTAGTGAGAGTACCTTCAGAAGCAGCACTGTCTGTTCTTAGCTCTGCAAGTCTTTTTCTTATTGCTTCATCTGGATCAACTGACAAATTCTCATTACTTGCTGATGAAGAAATGGGAATATTTGTTCTGGGTGGTCCACTTGTTGCAGGTTTCTGATTGAGATATTTTAGAATCATGAACAAACAATTTTTGACAGAGTATACCTGCCAACTCTCTGATGAAGAAATGGGAATATTTGTTCACGCCAGGTGGTCCATTTGTTGCAGGTTGAAAAATGGAGCTGTTGCCGTCTTGCTTGACACAATTTCCAAAAGATATTTGAGAAAATCATGTGTAAAATGAACAAAACAATACCTTCCTTGCGATTTCTGATTTTTGAAGTGAAAAGCACAAACCCGTCACAGTATGCAAATTTGGTCTTCGGAAGACTTCGGACGTCTTTGGAAGACTTCGGACTTCTTCGGAAGACTTCGGACTTCTTCGGGAATCTTCGGAAATGATTGTGTCGTCTTCAAAAATCCCAGCACTCCCATGATAAAAATCTCACGGTTATATCTCAGAAAAAGTTGGCAGGTATAACAGAGGTGCAAAAAGATGACAGTTTTGTCAAGTGAATAGACAAAAACATTGGCCACAGTAAAGACATTTAAACAACTGCATACAGTAGAAGCTCTCCTAATGAACAGTTTCACATGCAGAGAGCTATACTTTTGGCGGCTTTCACAAAGCCTCATTTTAATTTTTTCGCAACTACCATACAAACTCTGTATTTTCACATTCCCATGGGTGGCCACTCCAGTTATGGACACCTTTTTCACATCCCGAGGGTGACTGACTGTCCACTTCCAAGGGCTTCCACTGTACTAGCTGTTTATCAAAGGAAACCAGAGTTTCTTGTTTGCGCAGCATGCTACCATAAAGGAGCTCTATGATGATTTGCTACCTGTCTCCCACATGCTTAAGCGAAAGAGGGTGCATTTTGGAGGGCACTGCTACCATATCAAAGGTGAAACTATATTCTACCTAATATGGTGGAGACCAAACTGCCTCTCAGTCAGTTTTACAGCCTGACATTTTGGCAAGCTGTAGCTAACATCTACTAGCCCACAAGTCATTTCAGCTAGCCGCAAAACCCTTTTTGATTAGCAGGATTGATTATTATCTTTCTCTAATTTGAATTTTCCACAAAAAACTTCACTTGTTGGGCAAGTTAAGAACAAAAGTCACTAGCCCAATAGCAATATCCACTAGCCCCGGGCTATCGGACATGACTTTCTTTGCACGATGCTCTCAATGAAATCTATCAATGCTATCCTTTCCCAGCATCACATCAAGGGACTTCGTTCAGAAACAGTACACTGTGATGACCGTTAGAGAGGTGTGTAAAGAAGGTGTTTGAAGAATCTTGGCCAACAGAAAAAGATGATGATGGCGATGATTACAAGTGGAGCTGTAAGCTATAGGTTAAAAAATGATATGGTTTAAAATTTTCAAATGACCCCCTTTTTTATAGAGCATTCCTCCAGGCTCTCCTTAATTTTTATTTAAAATTTATATAGTAACAATGATGATGTTAGTTACCTGAAATGAGCTTTGACCAGGTCTGGGTAAATCTGTATTCTTGTTTAAGTCATTTAAGTTATTCCCCTCTGTATTTTGAACTTCCTTCTTTGTATTACTAGAGAAAAAGATACGATTTGCGAGAAAAACTTAGCAAACTTAACTGACCCTAAAAAATCCGAAAACGCAGTGAAATTATAGGTATATTGATTACTCCTACAAATTTCACTCACATCACCTTGTAGCATTTTTGAAGCACTGAAAACAAACTTTCATTTTCTTTGAGCCATGTTCCGGGAGAACCATGGAATAGGAGGTGCAACCGGAACAAAACAATCGTCCACACTTCTTACAGCCATGCTGAAAATTTATGTTATAGCTTTTAGCATTTATTATCTTTAGTCTTTAGTACTAAGGCAAGACAGAAGTTAACCTAAAATGTTGAGACGTTTGGATACGAGGTGCTAGAATTCGAAATAATTCTGTTCCTGTAATGTTAAAGTATGTCTTGCCTAAAAAACATGTACCTCTGAATACAGTATATATAAGACTCACTTCTCGACGAAAGAAGCCAAATTCTTGCCCACAACCAAAACATTGTAGACCTGCCATGTTCGTTCATTTTTGAGCCTGCGTTTCAATTTGCTAGCGAACTCTTCATTTTGAAATACTTTTTGTGTAATGAAACACCAATAGTCTCTGTTACCGTCATGTCGCATCATGGCGGAAAATCTTTTCATGGGAACAGAAAAAGAGAAAACGAACCTCCGCAAAAAGATAAAGTGGAAGAGGACGAAGATGAAGAAGAAGAGGAAGATCCGTTTGACAGCAGGATACAAAAATCAGGATGTGCCGACCTTCATTACGCATTGTTGGTAAGCCAAGAGAAAAATCGGCATTCGGGAACTGCTCTGTATACTCACCGATACTCTGATACTGTAAGCTGTAAGGCATGATATGTGTGCTGCAAAAAGCACAGTTTACAGGTTTTGGAAATTAGAGACGTATGTTTTAGAAAATCATTCATTTCCTGAAAAGATATTGTAGACAACGTTGGTCAAGAACCAGGACCGAGGTCGGGGAGGGGGTGAGGATGGCTGGGGAGGAGAGGGAAGGGAGTGTAGTATCTTCCCAAAATACTTCTAGGGGTTATGTGCCCTGCCAACAGGCCAGGGACGCGTTTCAAAAGTTTGCAAGGTATGTCAGCGCTTAATAAGTCTGTAAAAACCAGAAAATAACACAGAAGTGGTAAATCAGGACTCTGTCACGTGTTTTTAAACATCCTAAATAGTAAGCCTCGTTCCCAGGGTTCTCTCCTACCCGAACTTCGCAGGGAAAAAACGCAAACTTTCGATTTCGACAATATCAAAAGCTTATGCTTTGCTTAAAACATTTCCATCACAAGAAAGGAAGTTGATTTGTTCAACTCTCCGCCATGTTCATACAACCTTCAGCCATAAAAAATGCTGATTCTTTCGTTCCGAACTTGATTCTAAAACGCAGTTATTGAATATCTACTTTTAATAGGACTGCTTTCAAGAATATAAAGACTGGAGGAAGTGCCAGGATCATGTAAAAGCCTTCAAGGAGTGCATTGATCAGCAAAACAAACAGAAAAAGTCATAATCAGAGACACAAGTTCATCAACTGAGAAGAGCAACTGTTTGAACGTATCTGGATCTTGTCTGTCGGTGAACACACACTCTGCACGTGCATCACACTTTTTAGTCCGTGAATACAAGCTGCCGGCGCCAGGTAAACCGCGGTCCGAGCGCTTAAGCTCTATCAGTGACGAAAGGAAAGCTCCCCAAACGCTCTTGAATTAAGCAGGCTTGACTGTACAAGGGCAAAAGATTTTTGACAGCAAACAAAGACAAACGGAACCCAATCCTTTTCAGGGGATTGCCAGTAAATTTATTCTTCTTTGATCGATAAGCATCCAATAGTTACATCACTTACTTTTGGTATTAAATAGAGCGAAATTGCAGTATACCCCAATAACTCTATCTTTACTGCACACCTGGCTCAGCTCAGGATTTAAAGAAACAGTTGACAATTGGAATAAAGGGGTATTTTGCAAACTTCATCGTAAATAGGAATTACATTGAAATTGTCCTTAAATATTATTGTTCGTTGCATATTTTCTTCGTCACTTTGGATCCTGCGACAAACAGTCCTCCATTCTTACCCCCCCCCAAAGAATATATATAAAAAACACTTCATGCTGTATTTCATCGAAAATAATTTTGTTCTGGAACATAAAACTAACAGAACTACTTCCTGCTTACGCGATGCGTCGAGGTAAATAGAAGCAATTAAACATTTTTTGTCAAATTGGTCAATGTGCAATGGGATGCCGCGCTGTTTGCACTGTTCAAAATTGTGTCGTTCATTTGTATCAACCCGGTTGAAAAAAAAGATCTTTGTGTCTAATGAAATCTACTGAACAGTATTTGGTGAGGTACTGTTTTGTAAACTGAATAGTTTGATTCCTTTGAATGTAAAATCCAAAGGAGCAAGGTTTCTGAGTAATAGATCTCCAAATGACGTAAGTTCTCGAACTCTATTTTTACCCAGAGTTTCGGATCTTCTAGCGCCAGATTGCAGATTCATTCAGGGCTTTGTGGTTGTATCTTCATATCAACAAGGCACGCCGTGCATGATATTAGGTAATCACGAAGTGTCCTCGTCTTCTTCATCAGATTCGGCGGGTGGGACTGGAAATTGGTTTCTGTGTTCGACTGCCCACGAATTCCGCCGAGCTTTGATTTTAAACTCTCTCCATTTTTGACCCAAGCCTGAAAGAGAGAGTAGCATAATAAAAATAAACAGGCCAGTGCGTCTGAATATGTGACAACCAGGTTTCCCCATGATCGTTGTCGCTGAAAATGGTTACTATAGAAACAAAACATCAACGATCGCAAAGTCTGCCTTTGAGATAACGATTGTTGAGATAAACTTTAGCTCTATGTGGTCGCTATGGTCACTAGGATTGCAAAAAAAGGAGTTTATTGATGGCAGCGTTTACAATAAAAGAACTTCGAGCGATCGTTATCACAGCTATCGCTGATGATCTCTATGGTCGCTGCAATTAGTTAGGTCTCTGGACTTTTTTACGCGTTGGTAGCGATTCTTGTAGCCTGTACTGGCTTCCCCACGAAATGACGCCTAAGAAACTAGCGCAGAAATTCCATACTGATGACGCGACAGTGGCAGTGCATCTGATTGGCTAAAAATTTGCTTCAACCAATCAGAAGCACTACCCAGATCTTGGTAGCGACGCGTCATCAGTATGGAATCTCAGACGTCATTTCGCTGGGAACCGGTGCTGGCGTCGCGAAATAGAGGCTGTTTTCTCAGGCTAAGATTCTTAGGAAGTGGCGGGATTACTTACCGAGGCTGGAGGTTTCTATCATAGATATTTTTCTCTCCTGAAAAGACTGGAAAAAGAACAAAGTAGAGTGGGTTAACATTCGACGAACAAGATTTAATAAAACTGCGCGGCAGAGCATATGAATGAGCCATACAATTTCTATCACATGCGGCTTATGGTTAAAATTTAGGAGGAACTCGTCGCGGCCTTTATCCAAAAGGACTGAAATTCTGACATTAATATGCTAAATTCTAAACCGTGGGGTTCTCACCACCGCACACAACTTGGCAGATCCGCCGAAGTAGACAGACGGCGGGAGTCTGAAGGGTTCAACACTTCTGTTGCGATGACTGTGCCATGAACACTTTGGGACACGCGATGGGGGAGAGGGAGGGGTGGGGGTTGGTTGGCAAAGTAGGGGGACTTCCTACTATTGGTTGGAGAAGGAAGTAAATGCTGGGGGGGGGGGGTAAGTACTTTACCTTTTTAGGTTCTTTCTGCGCAGCTACACACATAATAGACAAAGCTTGCTCCATCGCTGTAAAATAAAAAAAACAAATCAGTGGCACTCAGAGGGCGAGAAAAACATATCTCATGCGATCTCTTTATAAACTGAGACTTTTTGAAGTAATTTTAAGCAAGACTGCGGAACTTTCAGATAGTCAGCTCCCTTGTTGGGATTTCGTGACGGATTTCGCGTTGAAACACTTGCGGTCACGTTATTTGCTCTCTACACGGAAACCCACTCGCAGAGTATGCAACGGTTCGCCCTGCGCGAGAATCTCGCGAGTTTATGACAAAATTTTTCTGTTTGGATGGGCTCACTCAAGACCATCGAACAGTAAATGTACTCTTTACGCTCGAGTTATGCGTTATTAAGTGTCCAGGTGATATGTTGTACTCTGTATGAGCCAAACCGTGTTCAGGTAAATTCCTCACTCCAGAAACTATAAAGAGAATGAGTACAAGCTTTCGGCGCAACGATTTCTGGGATCATATGGGTGGACAATCGTTACTTATGATTGGTTAGGCGGTTGCCTTGAATACCATCGACCAATCATAACTAACGCTTGTCCACCTAAACAATCCCAGAAATCACTGCATCCAAAGCATGTACTTATTCTCCCTTGAGTTTCGGAAGTGGGAAATTACCATCATTTACACCTACTACTTTCTAAGACTGTGACATTGGTGAGATATCTTAGCATATTCAAACTCGCCAATAAATCGTGCGACGTTTCGGCAACGAACACGAATCTTTGGACATGGGATTTGGGGTAATTAGGGGTGAAATATCTGCACAAGATGACAGTAGAAGCACTAAATACTCACTGCGAAGGCGAAGCTCAACTTTGCGCAAATTACGAAATATTCCTGCTATCTCCTACAAGAGTAAAAACACTGAATCAGCAGGGTCAAAGTTAGTACTGTCTGCTGTGAAGGAGACTAGGAGGTCCTGGGTTCTAGTTCCGGTTCTCAGTAAGTATCCGGTTAGGATTAGGATTTTGATTTAAAAACAACCAATATTTGCCCCTCTCCAACATTCTCCCCAGATTGGGCAACACATACCGCGTGTGAGCTCTTCCAATCCGGAATAGCACTCGGAGATTCCTGTTTGCTGTCGGAACTGTTGCTTGATCGAGCAGTACCGTTCAGTTCTTCCTCGCTGCCGTCATATAAAGTCCTACCATAAATTTAAAATCAAACAAGCAACTTTTACTCCAAGCATTTAGACAGGTTAGTACGATTTGCATCAAAATAACAGACAGAGAACCCTTGACATTTAAGTCAGCAATAGTTCCATCGAGACCACGCCTACTTTGGTCCAGGCAGGAGACCATCATGTGCTCTCAGTCTAGGCTATTCTCCGTACCCGCGAGTTTCCTCGCGGAAATTTGTTTTAGTATTGCGACCAAGGAAAGGAAGTGTTCGAAGTCGGGTTACTTGCAAAAGAGTATTTTTTGTCTACACGAGAGCGTTCGTTTATCGAAGCGTGCGTGGCAAGCGCATAAGAAATATGGGGCACGAGACAAAACGCGCGCGAGAGAGGGACACTCACGAGGGAATATAGTTTCCTTTCAGTCTCTCCTTGCGCGCGGGCTTTCTCCTCCCTTGCGGCCAGTTCTTATTTGCATCGTAAATTTCTCACGCACCAGCCGCGACGTCGTTGGCAGAAAAACAACAAATAGTAACCTATTTTTATCTTTATATACAACGTACTTCACTTTCGATAGCACTGATTCGGATGCCAGCCGCAGCTCCACGGAGAAAGCATGTATCGACGACAGCATGAGGTCTTCGACAGGCTGAAAAACAAAAAAAACGAGGTCTGTTCAGCTTTGTATTTGCGACGGACGCCAATATCCGAGGCCTATAACCTTGGAGCGTCCACCAGGGCCCGGTTCCTGAAAGGCCGATTAGCACTAATCCAGGATTAAAATTTTGTTCTGTTTTTGTAATTTACCTTCCTACCTATAGCTTAGAGGAACATTTTGCGTTATCATTACTGTATCTCGGAGTAAACGCTCAACAGTGTTTTTTTTGCTCGAGCTGCCGTGTCCTTAGACAAGAAAACCTTAAAAGTTGGCTTAATTCTGGGTTACAGTTAACCATCTTTCGAGGAACCGAGCCCTGGTTCTGATAAGTGTCACAGCGCGTTAGCCTTTCTATTACACATTTCCGTTATGACAAGTGCTATGACCGTATAGATAGATACCTTGTCAGTGACACCCCATTGTCTTCGACTTTGGGAAGACGCTGCTCCTCCTTTGAAATCAAACATCGCCTTTGCCTCAGAACTAGGAGTTAAGGGAGGGGAGGGAGAGGACGGTGGTGCCGCAGACACAACTGAATCAGGCGACATCGACCTCCCCTCCCCTGTTGAACAACGCGATCCCCCGGACAGGTCATCGGCAGAATCACTTGGAGGTTCAAATGGGTGGTCGGCAACGGGGGGCGTGTATGGTGGCGACTCGATAAAAGGCGCGAATGGAATGAGTTTGCTTCGTAGGCTTACGCCTTGGGTTTTTGCGGACGCTATTTTTTTCTCCTCAGGTTCTGTGCCTGATGCTGTAGTAGACGCTGTGTTTTCTTCAAGAGCATCTTTGGATTCAGTGATGGTTTTGCTGTTGGACACTTTGCTGACCCAATCCTGCATGGACGATTCTTCTGGAGACGTGATTGGCGAGTCACCTTTGCCTTCGTCTTAAAGAGCGAAAAAAGGAACATTAGTATACGTTGTTTTTTGAGAGCGCGATAAAAACTTTACAAACCTCTTAGCTACCAGAGCACTTTTAACCGTCTTGAAGTTTAAAATAACTTTGTCCATTATTTCTTTTCTATTTTCTATTTCCTTTGCACATCGACCCCTTTCTTTCTCAAAAGAAACCGAACAAGCGGGCCAGGCTTACCGAGGACAAAGGTTTTATTCACAGGATCATCCCTCTTCATCTGAAGAGACTCTGGAAGAACTGGACCCGAGGTAAACACGTCATCTACCGCCTTCTGTGTGACGTCAACTTCATCACGTTTGACACCAGTCTCCGCGACATCCAGGCTTTCATCACCGGAGGAAGACTTGGTCGACCGTCTTACGCTGGGACTCCATACCCTTGATACCGGCGGCGAATCGCCTATTTGATTGGCCGCTACGCTATTTCCGCTTCCGGCGCTGTTTGACGGTGAGTTTTTCGCAGTCCTGGATTTCGCTGTGGGCGGGGTTTTGGTTTTAACGCCGCTGTTCTTAACCGCTTCTCTGCTGTTATGTGCGCGAAGCATGGCTGTTTTGTTAGGACGAGGAGCGGACAGCGGCCGCTTTCCTTCTTTTTCAGGAATGAGTTGAACCCCTTTCCTGTCAGATTCGTCACTTTTCCTCCGCGATTCTTTTGCTTGTTTTGTCAGCGACGCGTCGCTTGACTCTACATCGCTATCGTCTGATGTACTACTTTCCAAGCCTATACTGCGGACGCCATCGACTGCTTTCCTGTCTGATTCGCCCCCGGTCGCTGTAGGGTACGAGCGCCGAATCGTGGCTGCAGACATAGTGTTACTCCGCGAAATTTTGGGTGAGAAGGAAGTCTTCGGGGAAGAAGACAGAGAGGAAGGAGAAAGACTTTGGGTTCGCATTAAACCAGACTGAAAAAAAAACAAAGCACAATAAGAAAGTTACTAAAAAAGCATGACCAGCACCAGAGTTCAGTTACAGCCATTTGTTCACAAGTATATCCTATCTGTCTGATTTCAAGTGAATATAAAACTTTACACTAATGGGCGTGATCTTACCGTTGTCGTTTTTGCAGAACCCGCTCTTGGCCTAAGACTGGGAGAGGAAGCAACCTTGGCTAATTTCGACTTGCTTTCTGTAAACAGGAAAGACGAAAATATATCATTACGCATCCTAGGGCCGGTATACACGCCAGTAGGTTGGTAGGAATTGCCGCATAGTTTATTGGAAGAAAGTCAGGGTTTACCAAGAGCGGTGTCCTCTCAGCCAAGGCAAACTAATGGCTTCCGCGGCTCAAACCGATCCTAAATTGGCGAGAGCACCCCTCCCCCTCCCTCAATATGCTGCTGGTTTATTCTTCCTCTTCCCGTGTACGCGCGCGTAAAGCGTGTGGAAGATTGGGGCTACGAAAAGACACCCCGTGACCACCTCGCGCGACACACCCGCTTTCGGATCCTGCTGGTCCTTGAGCCGAGGTTCGTATGTATGTGGCGGATGCTGGTGAAGTTTTTTACTGTTTGAATTCCTTACAATTATATCAAGGTTAAAATGAACAGTACTAAAGTAAATTGCTTTTCAATTAGGATAAAAACCGATAACTTTTGTTAATTAATTTGAAGGCAGTTTATTATTCACGCCATTCGTTGATATTAATTCCATGTAATTTAATTTGGTACATTAACTTCGTATATTTATCGCTCAGGTATCCGAAATGAATTAACACGACTGAAAAACGTCTGTTCATTCAGCGAATATATTATCTCTGAATCTACATAAAGAGAAGAAGGAAAAAATACCTGGTCGCAGTTGCTATAAAAGGTTTGCAAGCCTGTTATCTCCTGGTATAAATGACACTATCCCAACACAAGTAAACGTCGGTAAATTCCGAAATTTTCAACAAAGTACACTCGTCTGCTGAACTTAAAGTTAAGCCTCAGAATTTACGTTCGATTACATTTTAATGCCGGACGATGCACATTCGATTTATTCCTGGAAGTGGAAAACTGACATCTAGACGCAAAGTTCCTGAACAAGCAAGAAGCCGATGTATTTGCTCAAAGCTTGTATCTTACATACCTGAGTCATCTCGTTGCACCGGTACAGGAATACTCGAAGAAGACATAATACAACTGTTATGGATAGAATCTTCAGACGCACTAGATGATCCAAGTACCTCGATGGGTTGATAAACCGCACAGTTGTCTGTTGTAAGGAAAACAATACGACTTTTTGTGACATGTGTCATGTTAAATGAAATAACTTAACACCGTAGCAGATCATTAACTTCATGGATAAATAACTAAACTGACTTGTTTGTTTTCATATCTTGAAAGTACAAGTTGCCATGAATGGGCAGAAAGCTCTTTCCTTCGAGAATAACTAGACTGGAAACCCCCGCAGAGACGGTTAACCTTATAGATAAATCGCTGAACGTGCTAGCTTGTTCTTTCTTTTCCTGAAATCAATATTGTAATTAATTTGCTAACGCGAGGAAAGTTTTTCTTTAGTGCGCCAGCAATACATAGCAATAATTAACCAGGCTGACAATAGCTTTTGTAAGTTTTAATCCGAACTCCCCTGGGTCGTGTTGATAAGCAAAAAAGAAAAAGATAAACGGACGGAAAAGGGGGAGGGGGGAGGGGGGAGGGACGGAGGGAAGGAAAAGTGAGTAATCTTTGCCTACAACAATCAAGGTTAATCAAGAAACTTGGTGCAATTTAGGAAACAATTTACCGGCAAACATCAAAGATTGGAGAAGTTAAAAGGTGGTTTTAAAAACCCTATTAGTGATACAATTAATGTGTGACGAGGGACATAACTGTGCAGGTCTGTTGTAAAGAGACATGTTCGCGCAAGCACGACTTGATGTTTTATGAACTCCTTTTCAGTGCAAAAATTTTTCTTTGTCCTTTATTCTCTTGATTGTTAAAGCTGCATCACTTTGTTGTTGTGTTGATGACAATGACCGTTATTGAAGGTGTAGAGAATTTATGATCACTTAAATTTAGATCACTTAAATTTGACTGGCAGACTAGTAGTACGGAAATTGCACGCAAGTCAAACGATCGTGAAGTTCCACTATTAAGATAACTAACCTGGATTATTGCTGTCCTTCGTCCACTGTTGTACCCAATTAGGCAGAGGAGCTGGTGAAAGACTCTGAAAAGAAAAACATCGAACAAAGAAAGTGCTGTAGGGATGGGACCGACTACTCTACTGACCGACCAGTATCTCAGAAAATCTCAGAAAAGTTATGTGATTAAATCAGGATTTTAAAAGCAACTTACCTCTCTACTTCCTCCATCGCCTTCCCTCTGCAGGCTGACTTCGGTCAGACCAAACACTCTACCAGAAGAGGGATAACCTCTGGTGACTACGCCCAAACGCCGTGAGGGGTGAGAAGAGGGTTCATATTCGGACTCGCTTGTGTCACTTGAGTTTCTTCTAGAAGCTGAAAATAAAGGTAACGGAACTCAGTTATGCCCTTGGAACGTTCAGTGAAACCACTAATATTTTTGTCATCAACTGTAACGATCGTTCATGGACTCCTGTACTTATCAAATGACGACAAGACCGGGCTACCCAGTCAACCGTAGCCTGCGAGCAAGCCCTCCTGGGGTTCTTGCCCCGCCGTCAGAGCGCCCCCGCGGGAGAGCTTGCTCACAGGCTATGTCAACCGAGGCCATGTACATCAGGGGACGATACAAACGAAAGCCGCCTCTCGACCGGCCGTTTTCTTGAATTCTGTTTGTCTTAACTGGACATCAGACTTTCTATTATTTTTTACCTAAAAAAAATATTCAATTACCCGATGATGTTTTTCCATTCTTTGTCGGAGCGTCAGCAGAAAGGATTCTCTTCTTGACTTTACTAGTAACTTTCTTTCTTGCCGCCCCGTCCTGCTTCCCCGCAGCACTTTTCCGTACATCTTCTTGCGATCTCAATTTCTCCTTGTCGCTTTTCTGACTAACAGGTCGTTCTGGAATCTCTTCATAGTCAGGTATAATAGGAATCTCGTATGATGATCCCGGTCTAGAATGTCCTTCGATGCAATCGTCCGGAGAATTTTCTTGAGATGAATCGCATTCACGGAGACTAGACTTTTCGCTTTGGGAGTCAGGCAGTTCCCAGTCTCGACTAGTAGAGTTTTCAAACACTGGGGACAACTGATCGCTATATTCCGGATAGGGTAATGAAGATTTTTTCTGAAAAAGTACATACTCTTCGCGCTCTTTCATCGCCTTGCTTTGCTCTGGAGACTCATAAGTCGTTTTAGATGTTCTCGTAGCCACAATTCTCTCTTTAGATTCCGATAACACCGAAGTCGTCGCTATGCTATGGCGTCTTTGCGCCATTTCAAGCGCGTCTTTCTTTGTTAATTTTTTTTTCTTCAACGCCACAACGTTTTGTCCTGCCTGAGTATCGGCCTCGAGAATGGAAGCAGTGTTGGGATAATTGTAAATCTCGTCATCGGATGAGCCCCAACCCCACCATGGTGGTTGACCGTAAAGGGGGCTTCCTTTCACTATCATTTCGAATTTCTCGCCGGGAACTGTGTACAAAGAAAGAAAAAAAATTATTACCGACCGATAAAATTTATTGCACGTTAAGAAATAAGGAAGAATACTCTGTGAAAAAATATCAGGCGCTTAGTAAGCAAATCCAATCACAACTAAATCACAGGAGTTAAATTTTTTGGTCCCCTTTGTAAAAGGTTCAGCTTTTTTTGCGTGTGACGTACTTTCGCTCCACCAATCAGAGCGTTCCTTAGCGTTCCTTAAGCGTTCCTCAGCGCAGACGTTTTCTCGCGCTTTTTGGCGGCGGCTACATTTTCTCGCCTCCGTTTCTGATTGGTTCATTGGATTATCAACTGGTCAGAGGAATGACCGTAGTTGAAAAACCCTCCACGTTGTACATCAAGTACAGCTGTACTAAGCGACTTACCAGACATGGGCCTTTGAAGCCTTGATCTAAAAGAAAAATAATCATTCAGTAGGTCATCTATGATCAAGACTACGAGAAGTTCCCATAGTAGAGCGAGCGGTAACTAGAGGGTGTCACTAGTGTAACTGGGGGGTTTCGCTAGTGTAACTTGGGGGTGTCACTAGTGTAACTGGGATTGTTGCTAGTGTAACTGGGGAGTGTCAGTGGGGTAACTGGGTTTGTCGCTAGTGTAACTGGGGGGTTTCACTAGGGTAACTAGAGGGTGTCACTAGTGTAACTAACCTGACTTGAAATGCTGTCGGTGAAGCATGACTCCAGCTTGGATGAGGTGCCATCTGATGATGAACAAAGTTACTGGGTGTTCCCCCGTGGGGTGAGTGGACAGGTGATCTGTGTCCAGTGCAGGAGGGACAATGACACATCACCGGGGGATGGTGGTGGTACATTGGTGCCATGTAGGGGTAATGGGGGTAGGGGTGGAACTGAGTGTGGGGTGAGTGTACCCCCTAGGAAAAAAGCAAAAAGATATTGAAAACAAGGTTAACACAATCATTCTATCAGCACCAAATCACAGAACAGGAGGTCATCAAGTTGAACCAAGGAAACCCTTTACTAAGCCTTAGTCAATGCATTTTCAAAGACTAGTTTACTATAAGACACATTGTCATGCAGAAAGGAACAATGAAAATGGGAAATTAGAGGCTTTCTCTGTTCATGTAAGTGGTGAAGTCTTTGGACAAATAATTTAAAAATAAATACAGTTACACCCCATTAATACAGATACTGAGTGGGCCATAGAAACTGTCTGTATTAAGCCGGTTCAATTGAGAGAAAATGTGAGGGCTTCCTTTCCCCAGGGACAAGGAATACTGTCCATAATAATGACGTGTCCGTATTAAGCGGGTGCCAGTAAAGCAGGGTATGACAGTAGACTAATCTTAGCTCGGTGTTGTAAACTGACTTGTTTATGAGGCTCATGCAATAGAGTACTAAAGTGTGACATTATGAAAATGAAATTTCTGATATCATGGGATTTTGGGTCGACCTCCCAAAAAATTAGAAGGGTTTGTTTGGAGTTTTCTGAGTATAACCGGCTAACATCTCAGAGACAATTTGCCCCGAGATGCTCATTTTTGGTAAGTATGCCTCTTGGACATTGTTCTTTCAGAATATCCTGACAAATCCCATAATTTCAGAAATTTCATTTTTATGACGTCATCACTTTAGTACTCTATTGAAACTCAATTAAAAGGGATATGCATGGTCTTTGAAAACCCACAAATAGATGGGTGTTGCTTGTGGCAGGTAACAGCTTTTTTTTCAACCCAGAGGGACCACCAACCAGTGTCTTAGAGGGAAATGGGTAGATGGGGGAGGGGGACAGAAAGTGAGATGGAGAGAAGAGAGTAGGAATTGGGTGTGAAATTAAAAGGAGAAGCAAAAGGAAAGGTGGAGCGGTTTTTACTTCTGATGTCCTTTCTGATGCCTCTACTCTTTAGAACCTGTAACTCTGTTGGAACATCTTGAAATAGCTGGTAAAACACGCTGTGTTGTTTTCAAAACAAACAAACAAACAAACAAATCAAATATCTTTCATTATGTTGGTCTCTCTAGGCAGGGAAGAGAACTGCACGGTGAACAATATAGAACACTGTATTTGCCTGACTCACATGGTACATGTTATGCATTCCCTGATCAGGAGATCCTGTACGGCTCTCATCTTCATCTGAATTGGTTAAGTGAGCAGATGACTGGATGGAAAGTTTTCTTTCAGGTGCAGCTGGCTGAAATTGGAGAAATGGTAAGACAAAAGCAATATTATTATCAACTACGAATAACACCTCTAGAACTAAACACAATTCCTCTAAATTTTCAATATGAAACATTTTCTTTCTGAGTGTAGTTCTAGAAGAAATACATGTAATGTACCCCACCCTCCCTTCCCTAGCAAGCCCTGTCTCCTGATCAGCCTAAGTTTGTAAAGCAATGTGCCGTGGAGGTAGATTCTGACATAAGAAAAACTGAAAATTTGGTATCGTACAGAATCAATGCAGGCATTGCTGAGGGCTGTATGTTACAGAATTAAAAATGCAATGGGACTTTGTAAATTAGTTGTATGGACCAATCAGATATGACATACAACTGTACAATGTCAATGTCTTTGCTGCAGTTTTAAATCATTATTTATGATATTTCGTACAGCACTTGCTGTCTGTTTTAGAATGGCATCTGTAGCTTTGAAAGGTCCTTTTTAACTTTAGCCACAACCAGATCAAGATTGATCCCCTACAGGAGCTCAACTTTAGCTCCAATTTTTTTGGAAGAGCATTCCACCCTTTCCACATGGTAGTCTTGGATCATTATACGTTTCTGGGAAACCACCCACCTACCCCTCCCCTAAGCCAACATTTTGCCCCAAGTGAGAAGTAAGTGTTAATGTTGACTTAGGAGAGGGGTAGGTGGGTAGTTTCCCAGAAACATACATGATCTGTTTTCCCTAAACTAAAAATACCAAATTGCCATTTCCAGGATAAAAGCTCAGCTTACGAATGAAAGCAAGCAAACCTTACTTATGATAGGACTATGGATAGAATGAAGGAATAACACAATAATGTAACAGTAAACCTGGCTTCTGTAAGAAGACTCCCAAGCAGTTCCCAATGAATGATCATTGTTTCCATTAAATTGTTGTCTTTCTTGGTTATTATTATCATCAAAAACCAATTGCCTTTTTCTCTGAGGCAAAAGCTCCACTCGAAAAGTATTTAAGTGTTTGGACAGTTAAGGAAGATAAAGGAATTTTATATTCAAAGCTGCTCATAAAAAAGTTTAATATTCTTTGCCAAAAAGAAAAATTCCACGACAATACTATATACTCAAATGAAATTCTTGTCTATGTTTAGTTTTAACTACCAACCCTTGAAACTAAATGGCATGCAATAAGTATGTTACAAAAAAGCATTATGCATGATACCTTCAAGAAGGAAGGTTGCAGTAGTTTACCTGATTTCAAAAAGTATACTGAGAGCTGAGTCTATCTTTGCACATAAATATTTTTACAAAAATCTCCCCTGTAAACACATAACTATAATATAGACAGACACAAACAAAAATAAAAAATATGTATTGTTTAGATCTGTCAAAATATTACATGGCTCAGAAAAAAACTTGATAAAAACTACCAAAGAGTAACCTTGAAATGCTAAATTTTATGAAGTAAGAAACAAATTATATGGTATATAACCTCTTCACAGCATTCTATTTTCTTGGCCAAAACTGTCCAAGAAAATGAAAAACAGCAATCAAAATGTATATAAAGATGCACTGCGGTGAATAGTCCGCAAACAAATTTATTTAAGTGCACCTTATCACCAGGAAACTTGTTTTATTTTTAGTTTAAGCCATTCTGTGATCTTAGAATCTAAAATGGAAGCTATTTGACTATTAGATTACATGGTCCATTGATCTTTAACACAGCTGTACCACTTCAGTGAGCTCATATCATGAATGAACTGCTGTAAATAAAACAATCCTTTTACAAAAGCGCACAAGAAAAATAAAATTCTTGAAAAGTTATGTCAATATAACAACAATAAACCACAATAATTTTCCAGCTTGGCTTCTACATGAGGCCAGATGGATTACTGATACAAAGAAAACACAAAAATATATACAGCCTATTTTGAATTTTAAACCTAACTAATATGTGTATTTGTATATATTGTGTTAGAGTAAATGAAACATGTAAATTCATAATGGCATTGAACATCAAATCTTCCATTTCGTAAATGCACCAGCAAACAAGCTACTTTTTTATATCTCTTGACAAAGAATATTATATATTTCCTGCTTTACTAATATCCATACAAAGACTTGGAGGGCCATACGAATCACTGTGCAAGTACTTCTATATCAGGCAGTTGCCAGTGAGCAATGTACAGGATATATTGTTGAAAAAACTTTATTGAACCATAGAACTGTAAAGACTATCGTTTTAATGAATCCTTGTATGGATGAGGTGTTAGTTATGCCATACACTGCAAATCCATACAAGCATCACACAAAAAATTAAAATAATCTTACTGTGATGACAGCATCTTTGGGCTTCAACAGGAAGCTAACAATCTTCTTGTCACTTTTATCCAAAATTAGCACTGGAAGGCAGAGTTTGACAAAGGACAAATCCTTCAAAGACTTCTCACTTGCCACAACAACTTTAAGTTTTCTTGACAAGTATTTGTTTCCTGTAGCACAGCGTAGGACATCACAGAGTGTGCTTGATTCTTCAATTGAAATCCATTTAGGGCCATAAAGGATCTTCTCTTCACATGATACTCTCACACAGAAAAACAACATCACATCCAAGACTCAACTCATGGGTTTCAAATTTCCCTTGGCAACTGATTGCACCAAGGAAAAATTTCTGATTTCAATTTCAAAGTATCGATTCTTTTGTGATGATCAGTCTTCAGCTACATGACAAGTGCAGTCTGGTAGTTGACTCATTATAATTTAATACAATTTAGGGAACTGTGATCAGAAAGGAAAAAGCTTATGGTCAAACCAAATAAAAATAAACACCCCAGTTCCAATGAAATATAAACCTTTTTTTAAAACTTTGGATTAAAAAAGAAAGGCAATTTTTGAGAGATTTTTAAGACAAAAAAAATCAAGTGTCAAATACATGAAATTTACATGTCAGCTGATCCCTTAAAATAAATTTGAATATAAGTTGAAAGGAAATTTAACAGGAAATAAAAATGACTGCTTTGTTTGGAAAAAACCTCAACAAAATGAAAGCCAAAGTAAAATGTCTACCAATCACCAAACCTTATTTTAAAGAGAAAAAGTAACACCATGGCTAAAATCCTAGAACTGTGACAAAGCCACATGAGTAGATGACATCCACTGCTTGAGGAGCAAACAAAGAGATTTAATCTTTTCTTATGTTAATTAACAATTTCTGAATCATTTACTTTGATCACTGGCCCAACCAGGGTTATAGGCTTCTACTGCACAATGAATATTAAACCTAGACATCATAATAGATTATGTCAAACGAATTCTTGGCCTTATAGACGATCATAAAGGAGTTGACTTCTTGTTTTAGTCTGAATTTAAATACTGTGGCTTTACTTTGATTCTGTCACCAGTCATGCATGCTGTTATTACACTAGAGGCACCTGCTATGTAATCAAAATACCACCTGTCTGGGGGGGCCTGGGCCTTACACATGTGTCAACAAATCCCACAATGCTCTGCAGCTGTTTCGAAACCAAAAAATTCATGTATTCTTAAAAACACTGTAAAAAATAAAAACCCAAATTAAAAAAAAAGGAAGTCACTTGCTGTATATTTCAATACAATAATAATAAAAATTATCAATGAACTTTACTAAAAATTCAAAAATAATATTTTGTAATACTACTGACATTTTTTAAGAACATTTTAGTACTAACATAGAAGAGATCATGGATATTGGCCTTATCCTTTTTGCATTTTTATGGACCTTAATGAATATTCAATCACCTTGACATACATGTAATGCTTGGTCAATATGCATATGGATTTCCAACAAAATAATATTCTACTCTATAACTGACTCAAGAAGTACTGCTGTTAGCAAGCTAACATTGTTAATTTGTTCCATTTTTATTTTACTTCAAAGGCTTAAATATATTTTGTTAGTACCAGAAAATTTGCATGTGCAATTGTAGTTTTTCAACCATTTCCAAACCTCAGGCTTTGTGCTAAGGACATGATTCAAATCAATTGAGTAAGGCAAAAAAAAAGAGGAAAAAAAGATTATTTTATATATTCAGTTTAATTTGTGTGAAGAAAGATAAATTTTGATATTTGCTTTTAAATCAATGTTGCAAACAGTCATTTGCTAAGCACATGTGAATGTGTAAATGATAACCTGACACATGTAGTACTTTACTAATAAAAAATTACCATAAAAATATTAAGTTCAGTTAAAAATCAAAATAAAAACATTACTTTTTTAACAATAAAACATCTTACTTAAGGACAAGTTGAACCAACTTTAAACTTTAAAAATTTTTTGCAAGCAAACACCCAGAAATAATTTTTTCTTCAACTGCTTAACATATGTTTATTCATTTTGACAAAAATCTTTTCAATGAAAAGAAATGTCAAGCTTTATATATACATATATCGTTCCTTCACAAAAACTACAGAACAGGAGTATGCATGTAGGTGAAAATGACAATGAAACTATCAGCTATACAAATGAGAAAAAATTTGTACCTGGTGTTGAAGATGAAGCTCTGGCTGGAAACAGCCTGGGCATAACATGGCGCCACAAGACTGAGGGCAGATGTACATGTTGTGATCATAATTAAAAGTATTTCTGGAAATGGTGTCTGAGAAACACACATAGTAGATTTTCCCCTCTTCAAATGTCTGCTGCATTATTTGCAGTCTTCATACTTCAACACAAAAATGTCTTGATTATTTTCTAGACGGAAATTCAAAGGATTCATCTATTCACAAAGCTCCATTAAAGCAACGAATACAGCCAGAACTCAAGACTGAAATTTGCATATAATTTTTTGTTGGGTCTAATTTTGCTATTATTCCAGACACCCACAAAAACCAATCACATTCTCCACCTGCTAATATTTATTTTATGCTTTATCCAAAAGTGACAGCCATTTTAATATTTTGTTTTTCACAGCAACATTGGAAAGCAAACATTTCAGTCTAAAAGTTCTCTTTTTCTAAGGCAGTCCTTTCAGCATTTCACATTAACACAACTGAAAATAGCCAGATTCAAGGTAAAGTATTCACTGAGGAGAAAATATATTTTTCTCCCATCTTTTCTCCTGCATATTTAAATGATTGCATTTGTAATTTATCAAAATGTTAGTGGAAGAGATTTATGTAATGCCTTGAAGCATACAATTTTAAGGGGGAAAATTATATAATCAGCATTTTCTTTAAAAATTATTAAACACTACATTTTCAATTGAGAATCGTGAATATACTGCAGTCAGTAGACATCCCAAAGTAAAAAATAAAATATATTATATAATGAAAGGCAAATTTTTGTGGTCCTGTCAGAAGATTGCCTGGCATAATGATTAAAATTTTATAATAAAATCTACATAATTCAGTGAATGGTTTGAGCCCAGAAGACATGTCGTAAGTATGTGGAATATGATTGTCTGGTTTGGTGTAGTCCTGAATGAACTGATATTGACAGTGCTGACGTTTCAACACCCTGTATAGTACACGTAGTCATCTTCAAAGTCACAGTGAATTGTATCTCTCGCCACATGATTGTAGTAACAATATCACTGACTACTATCATTCCATAAACCTTAGCAACTTATATGGTAATTACTAAGGTCTGGTGTGGGCCAGGGATGGGAACGTTTCAACATATGAGAAGAAAATAGAGAATATACAAGAATTTGCTTGAATACAGGATTGTCATTCAATCAATCTGGAGACATTTAATTACGGTTTTACCTTGCTATTAAAAGAAATAAAAGATCTAAATTAACTGCAATTTTTTAAAGGATATCATATCCAAATCGGATATTGTCCTTTAGTTTTAAGTCCACTGGCTGCTGGCTAATTCTCATTTCGTTCACAAATGTCTGAAAAAAAAAAAAACATAACAATACTACAGCAACAACGAATAGAATACGAAAGAAAATGTCTATTAAAATCCCAAGCATGATATTGTAACTTAGTCCTCCACGTTACACTATGCGGGGAAAAAATGAAGCATTTTATCATCACATTTGTATCATCCATAACATACCTTGTTTACTTCAAATTCTGTATAAGCTTTAAGCTTTATGACTACAATTTTTCTAGGGATGGCTGTACATGCAATGCCCAGACAAAATTGGAAACAAAGGTTATGCAAACAGCGTGCAAAGAAAGTTGTGTCTGATAACCCAGGGCTGGTGGATTTTGCAATCGGGCCAGTGAATCCTGGTCTTGACTTGCCCAAAGGGCAATTGATGTTTTTTGGGAAATTCAAATTACAGAAGAACTGTAATCAATGCTGCTCATCAAAATTTTGGGGGGGCTACGTTGAAGACTATCGGGCTAGTACATATACGCTGCACTAGCAACAACTTGAGCGAATGACAAGCCGGAAACCGACTTTCTTTGCACCCTGGCAAAATTTGGAGGTGGGGGCGGGGGGGAGAACATGGTGTTGTTATGGTAATGTTTTGGTGACGAACTGCTACACACAGAAGCTGTCTGGGTGCCCTGTGCATCTTGCAAATTGATACCAATCTGCGGCTTTAGTAATAGAATTGCACATGGTAGGGAATAGGATAGTACGCAGCTCTCTAGAACCTCTAATTTTAGTGGATCTTCTATAGCATTCCATGGAATTGACATACTTACACCATTCAAGGTTCCAAGATCATGCAATTTGTATTCAGCATTCTCCAAATTGACTGAGATCACTGCATGTTGTTTATCCACACTCCTTGACTGTATATACAGATAAAATGAATTCATTAGGATTTGTATATCTTACTGATTTTTTAATACAGGAGCAACTCGGAAGAGAACTATTGTGTAAAAAACGAACTGCCAGAATCATGTTTTCCATATTTCCATAGAGGGCAAACAAGAAAGGCCTTTCAGAATTACACTATCCGTATCTTGTCTATTTTAGGGTGAGGATAAAAATTCCCAACACTTTACTGTGATATTTCGGAAAATTTTCTTCTTTAACAACGTCGTTGTGATTTCTATAGGAATTTGAAATTCTGTTCATTGACGATGAAAAGGTTTGGCTGAATTTAAGCAGGAGCTAAGTATTAAAATCACCTGTTTTTGGTGAGAGCACACCTACAAGAATTTTCCATGTTAGAGCAAAATTGGCTACAGTATATTTCCATGTAGGAAGAAAAAGGAAATTTCACAAGTATATCACAAAACTATAAGCTCAATATTGCTTCGAGATTCGATTGTAAAACGCTGCAGGTATCGCGTCAGCAGCGATTTTATCACATTAAATTCTAGAGCCAATTATTGCAAAAGACATCCATCTTAACCCTACCTTTAATGTTAAGTCCATCTCATCTTCTCGCCCTACAAAAAAATTCGGTTCGGAAAGCTTATGATAAGTCCCTTCCGGGCTCAAAAGAGCCCATTCACAGCCAGCTGCCTTCATGGATAGCAACGGCAAGCGAAGCAAAGAAACTCGTGCACTGGTTCTTGTCGACGCGTAGCTACATTTTTTCTCTTTCTTTGAGTTCGTTCATCTCTTTAGTAGACATTGGTGATACTTTATAGCAATGAAGTTAAAGTAGAAGCCCAAAAAGTCCATTTTTCTCTTGATAGATCATTGAAAGGCGGAAAAATGTTTTTTGACGAAATTATTTAGTAAACGATGACCGCTGCGCCAAGTGATATCATCGACCAACATCGGCTCAAGTGGAAATTTCGCGCCACAATTTTGTCACGCAACTACCAGCTTGGAGTCACTTTCGTTTTACGGGAAAAAAACTTAACCGAGAGAAACTTTTTGTAAGCTCACGTACAAATCCATGATACTAAGTAGATAAAAAAGTAAGAAAACAACAACAAGAAAAAAAAACAAACAACTGAAATACGGTGGTGTAAGTGACGTAATTACAAGTTGCGGGAAGCCCTTCATTGTGATTGGAGCATTCCTTGACTTTGACGACTGCCAGCACTTTTCCCGCGTGCATGCTTTGCTAAAATTTGCGAAAATTGTTGTGCAGCGATGGAGAAGAAGGTCAAGAAAACCTCCAAAACGTCTCACAGCCCGACGGATCAACTGAGTAAACCGGATGTCAATAGTGTAATGCTTGCAATCAACCTTGTGCCATCGAAGATCGAAGATGCTGGGCTTGAACAACACGAAGCCAAGGAGTTGATCAAAGAGAATGCGCCGAACCTCAGGTCCTTGATATTCGGCGAAGAAGAGATTGTTCGTGCCAAGGAAGGGAGCCCTTCCTCGAAAATAATCGCTGCAGTTGGATCAGAAGAGAAAATTTATTCCATTGGAAACTGTGGGCTTTTTGGGGCCGTCTTCACCGCCTACAACAATCACTGGAAGCTGAGAACTTCGCCAGATGACTGGTGGTTCAGCGTGATCAAACGTGTTGCCTGCGCCATAGAGACCAACGCAGAGAAAACGTCCGTGCGGACGATGTTTGTTAATCATGAAGGCAAAAAAGAGATTGAGGTGCAAGTGAGCGATCCCACTATTTACACAGTCGATTACAGCAGGTTCTTTGACGAGATAGCAAAGAAAATTGAAGATAATGTCAGGGTTCCCGAGTTCATAAATGGCATGACAGCCGATTTCAGCACCACAACTCCAGTGCAAAAGATTGTTTCTCAGATTACATTGATGTACTCTCTGAAAGAGTATTTTTATTATAGCTTGAGAGCTGGCTGTGGAATTCCGGCGGTGGAGATGCTTGGAAGTGAAGACGATTGGAAGAAGTTGTCATCCAAGTTAAAGGTGCTCCGAACGCTTCTGGAGCCCATTGAGAATGACCTTGGCCTGAGGTCAGAGTGGTGGAATGTGGTTAAGACAGTGTTCAGCAAATTGCTGGACACGTATCAAGGAAGACCAGATAGGAAATGGTGGAGCCACATTGTCACTTACGAGAATGAAAATGGTTCGGGCATGATTATACAGGGCAGTTACATTTACAGAGGATGGATAACAGAGTTTGTGGAGGGGCCAATGAAAGTAAGGTTTAATTTGAGGATCAGTGATATGACCAAGGGACTAGTCAGCGTACCTATCACCCTCAAAGATTCCACCGGTCTGGTCACGGATAGTGCGGTACTTGTGGCTGGAATGCTGGGATTTACCCTGCACCAGAGTTCAAATACAGATGATGTGTCTGTGCAACCATTCCAAGGCTGGTCTCTGATGATATCAGAAAATTCACCATTTCGTCGTCACCGAGACATTTAATAAAACAAGTATAAAAGCTAGGCCACATACATTTTTCTGTATGATAAAGTGGCTAACTGGCAGTGTTTCGAGCAACATGTGGAATTTACTGTGAAGACTGAGTTTGCTGAGGAGTATGTTTAATCACTAGTTCTGGAAGGGACTGTAAATTTGTTTTCCAAGCTTGAATCTCACTGGGGTTTTCTAAGTTGAACAGCATGTAAGTTGAGGGAAGAAGTAAGTTTCTTGGTGAGCTACTCCGGTCTCCTGCTGACAGTACTTTTAAGAAACTTTTTGACTGGGCTGCAGCTGAAGGACTTATTGATATGTGATTTGAAAGCAATTCTCAACTTTATTGGTAATGGCCAAAGACAAAAATGTTAGTGGTTTGTTGTCAGTTCCATTTTTACATGGCAAGCAACTATTGCAAAAGTTTACAAGAGTATCCTTGAGGTACAAAACAAAAACGAAACAAAACAGAAAAGGAACTAAAAAACCTCAATGCAGATTGGGGCTACAAGCCTATGAAACAAAAAACTTCATTAAATGATCAGTGAATGATTGTGGTGAGAGCATCAAAGCTTCCTTTCAGCCAACATAATTTTATGCAACAAAAGTTTGTTTTAAGGGTATTTAATGAATGTTTAACTACTCTGTTAACGTGTTTTAACACTATCATGAGAAGCAGTTTTCAATCACCAAAGTGCAAGATTTTGACAATTTATAAGTACCAGGACCGTTATTGTATTGAGTACTTTAATAGGCTGCATTAACTATTGTCTGTTTATTGTTCATGTTACATTTTATCCAAGTACACAGAACTTTGTTCGTAAAAGGTGTTCAAATATATTCAGTTGAAACCAAAGCTTGAAGAGTGTCTTCACATTTCATTACACATTACGAAGTCGTTTGATTGTTCTTCCTCGTTCTCTGTGCTATCTCCCCTCACCAAGGAAGCATATAAAGCCGGAAAATCCATCCAAAATCCCCACAAAATCAATGAACGCCTTTCATTCAACTTACTTTTTCTTCTTTTCAATGTTTTTTTTTTTTACTGAAAGGGTTGTTCACCATTAAATATTTCTGACCAAAGACTGCAAAACGGTCGTTTTATTTTTCTCAAAAACCGGTTTTTCAAAGTGGTAGCGAGATTCGCCTGCGAGCAAGCTCTCCTATTTGGGCGGACGAAGCGAGCCGCGCGAGAACACGTGAGTGAGCGGCGAAGCCGCGAGGTGCCGGTTCCCCTGCCCCCCGCTTTCGCGTCTTCTCTCGCGTTCTTCTCGCGCGTTTACTTTTCACGATAGGTGGGGGATGTGGGCTGTGAGCGCGGAACATTGCTCACAGGACATGCAGAAAACTTTGCGTTCTTCCCACGTTAAAACAGAACTCGGTACGCGCTTAAACTGTTTCGATTGCCACAACAATGTTCACCACGTTAGGTAAGAGTTTATTAAAAGTTTATTCAAGCGAAGCGTTGAGACGTTGGAAGTGAAAACGTTGACTACACTGAGCTTAATTTCCTAAACGCGTTTACAAAAAGTGCTAGCTAAAAGCTAAAGCTAAAGGTCGATTATACGTGGGCAAGTATGTCCGTTGTGTTAACCACAAAAACCATAAAACTATGAAACAAAGAAACTATTAAGAATAGAAAGGAGGTAAGAAAAAAAACATAAAAGATTTGGCAGTAACAGGAGGGATGCCTAAAATAACCACCAGGCCCGGGTTGTTCAAAAGATGGATAGCGCTATCCACCGGATAAATCACTGTCCAGCGGGTAAGTATTTGGGAAACCAATTGCGCTATCCAGTGGATAGTAATTTATCCGGTAGATAACGTTATCTACCTTTTGAACAACAAACATGCAATGTTTTGAATATTGTAGCTTTGTTTGGGGGAATTGCAACTAAACTGCGCCTCCCGTATCATGACCTTCTCTCCTTATGATGCCAGTGTTGACAATCTTTTTACATCCTTAGCCTGGAAAAAGCTAGAGGCTCAACAGAAAATTCAAACTGCAGCTATGGTTTATAATTCTCCAAATGGCCTCGCCCTGCAATATTTGAATTCGTTGTTTTCCTTGAAGTCTCTAGTTACTCCGTCAGGGATTCTAAGGGCAAGCTAGCTATTCCACTGCCCCGCACAAATTATGTTAAAAACAGTTTCAGCTACAGAGGTTCGGTGCCGTGGAATATTCTACCCATTGAGCTGCCGCGAGCGCAAACTCTTTCCGCTTTTAAACACGACTGCAATGATCACGGCAATCATGTCAAGCAGGCACAATTTTTTTGATTAAGAATCTTATTACCGTTAATTAGTTAAAATTTCAATTACTTAAATAGGTTACAATTTTGTAGTAGTTCACTTAGCCTGATGATTTTTAACCGTTGATAAATAAAGTTATTGTTGTTGCTGTTGTTGGGGGCCTCCAAGATTACGGGATTGAAAGGCCCTAATGAGAACCCTCTAAGTGGGGAGCGCGTGAGCACTAAGAAAATGAAACATGCAATAAAATCCTTCATTAACTAAGACTCGTTTTGTTTTTCAATAGATCGATTTTCACACAACGTTGATAATGTAATTCTAAAAGAAAACTTAGGGGCTTGGGGGCCGTTTCTCGAAAGTCCCGGTAACTTTACGGGCCCCAAATCAAATATTCAAATCGAAATGTAAGGAATAAAAGCACGGGTCCTGGCTAGCAAACTACTCCATTTTGTTTCATTAACTGACAGTTTTATCAAGTTAGATGCAAAACTATTGAAACCTCTATCTTGCATGTAAACAACAACAGCTTTGCAGGCCCGTTGATTATCGGGACGTACAAGAAACTGGTCCCTGGACCGGCCATTTGGAGTTTGTGCTTGACTAGGTCGGTGTTGTACCGAACTGCACTATGGGGCAATTGTATGGATACTGTCGCTTTGGTAATTTACTATCACGAGGCTGCAATGGAAGCTGGGTCAAAATTCGTCTCCCCAAACAGTCCCACAGTGCATTTCGACGCGACACCGGCTCAGTCCACTCGCATCCTCAAAATGGTCCATTGAAACAAGAGATGCAATGATCATTAATCCATTAAATAGTGGTGTAGTTCTGACCTCAAAATTTCTATAAAATCATACAATGAATTAGTCAGTCAAATACAAATATGTAATCGGGAATCAGTCACACGTCACCAACAAATTCCAAAAAACTGAATTAACCAATAAAATTTATCGCAAAAACATACAAATGGGGTAAAGAACGTATATGTTAACTTTCGTAACGAAACTTTGGTTTTGCACCCAAAATGTTGCCAGATTCGATTTGATAGGTCGATTCAGAAATTGCCTGACCTGTCATAGCTCAAAATACATCATACTATCTTTTCCAGCTCAAGACTGACAAAATTAATTTCGACACATTTTCAACCCACGTAACAGTCTTGCTTTGGCAAACTTTAACGCATGTTCAGCTGTTCAAGCCCCTTAAAAAAATCATTCTCCTTAACTATTCGGGCAAACCATTATCTTTCTTCTGGAATTTCCCCTCACTCACAAAAAGTTGCAAGACGCCAAACCACGAGCGTGTACACGCGTTTTGCGCTCAAAATTTCAATCAGCCTCCATTTAGGCATGAGCAAACCAGTCTTTAAAACACTAACCCTAAATTACAATTTTATCCGTTTCAGGATCAAAGACGCGCCTGTTTCCTGTCAAGTGGTTCATACTTAAATCGTTATGAACCAGTTTCTGTGCCCTGGAGTTTCCTAAATCGATTGTCAAAGTCATTTTCGCCTCATTAAAAACCTCACAACTAGTCTTCCTTTTCGGCGTACGTTGTTCCTTTTCAAATTTCACTCCCTCAATGATATATTGTCCGTCTATGTCGTTAAATCTTGTTGATATTCGCTTCGGGTCCACTCCATCTGGGATAGGAATAGCTCTTGAAAATTTTGCTCCTTCGACGCCTTTATCAACCCTCTGGGCGCGCTTTCCTTGTACCAATACGTGCTCGTCTTCAACCTGCCATACCATGTCCTGTGGGCGGTAAGAGCCGATGTCTAAGCACGCTATACGAACTGTTTCCCCTACTCTCCTCACAGGCTGGCTAGGTCTCTCCCCGTCCATCTTAAAGAAATCTGAAGAGTACGCCGGCGAGCTGAGTAGATTGGTTAATATCCGTTCGCTGTCACTGGAAAGGCTGTAAATGGAACGGAAGATTAAAACACATTACACCTTACAACAGCAGACCGTCAAAAAAGCAAGAGGTTTAATTAGCAAAACAACAACTTCGCACGTGCAGCACAATTTTTGTACATTTCTATGTCGTCGCTGTACGAATACGACGGGAAAATGCCTAATTTCACGTTTAATGGAGGACGTAAACAAGCCTGGAGTAGCCTGAGTAACAGGCCTTCCTAAGGGGATAGGGGAGACGAGATTTTTGATGGGGGAGGGGAGGGGGGAGGGGGGAGAAGAGAAAGGAAGGCTCCAGTAAAAGCATCTGTGTCAGGTGTTTCTTTCCTTCAGCTCTCTCCCTTTTTCGCTTCCATCTTTCCCCTTTTCCCCCAGAAACGCCTGATACTCAGGCTAGCCTGGAGGAAACCTTCTTTCTTTTACTAAAACTGAATATAGTTCTAGAAATTCAACTCCTGGAGAGATCGCCTAAATTTGACAAAGTAAGTAATTTGTAATAGTCGCGATGAAGATTGAAAGACCGCGAATTAACTTTTAAAGCGGCAATTTCTCCGCTGTCGCCGCCGTCGGTTAAGGTTACTTTTCTAAACCTTATACGTGGCTCATTTCATCCAAGAATGTTTATATAGCAGACTTGAAGGGAGCCAAGATAGTTACACAACGTTTCTATCCTTTAAAAAGGTAAATAATTTATACCCGCGAGTGTCATACCACGAAGTTAACGCGTAACCCATGCTCAGTTTAAGATGGGTAATATTTTCTAACAACACCAAATTCAGGGAGAAAACACACCCGTGAACACGGGAGTCTGACGGCTATGCCATGCCGATAAGTCCTAATAAGGGCGAAACAGCTATCCATGGCTACCACTGTGGATGATATGGCTGTGCGCATGCGTAGGGTACAGGCCACACCGCGGAGTTGGGAGAGTTGGTAGTCTGTGTTTTGTCTAATATTTTTTTTGACGCTACTGTTGTTCCCCTTTTTGCTACTGTAAACAGTACGCTGTTTTTTATATCCCTTGTTTTTGTCTGCTGCATGATTAAAGCAGTTGAGAGTTTCCGACCATGTACACATTAGCGTGGGTTGGCTCTGCCAGATTCCCTGTCCCCCCCCCACTCGTCCGAAGATGCACCTTAATCACATGACTACAAAAGAATAACTTATGCACTTTGATAACTAATTTGTACATTAAGATTTTTAAATTTGTGATACCACAGTCTTTTCCAGATTAAAACATCCTTTGACATCTACCGCAAAACCGATATCAATCAGCTGGTATTTTCGGAGTAAAAAGACGTTTTCTGCATACACGTTATAACAACCGATATTAGTTTTTTCCTCTTAGCGCGTCTTCGCTGTCCTTAATTTCATGAGAACGCATGATTTACACGTTTTCTACAGTTTCATACACGTGATTGCAGCTTCTGTTTAGAGTGTGCTGCGGTAAGATGAAAGCTTAGCGCAAAAAGCAGAAAAAAAATATTCTGGATGTATAAACCTACTACTTTCCGGCATTTCTGCTAAACCGCGTCTGGCGGCGAAAAAAGACGATTTTTTGGGAAAACCAACTTGTTTCTACAGCGCACGTGATGCAGCTAAAATTTTAATAAAGAAAAATCGAAACATCTGGAACTTTTTTCCCTCAATAAACGCATAAATATTGTCATTTCGCCATTACAATAAAACTAGCACGACATTAGCCCCGTCGGCTTCTTCGGATGTTCAATTTTTTTCGAAATGAAATACTGTTTATGATAATTTGCCAAATTTTTGGCCTCTGCCTCGGTGAGTTAAAAGTGACCGGAACTTTTCATGACCAAACGTTAAGCCAATTTAAAAGTTAAAATGTCAAACGACTGCTGTGTTTAATAGTGCAGAGAATTCCGGCTTCGTTCAAACAAACTTATACGTGCTTACTCTGTGCAGAAAACTATGTTACCTATTTTAGGCCAAATTACTAACGCACGATTCTTTACTCTAGCAAACAATTTTACCTCAGCCAAATTGAACTGGATGAATAGAGCCAACCGAGTGGCCAATGACAAAAACAACACTTACCCACTGGGGTATTACATGTGAAATGACGAGGAAGAAGATCGTTAGAAATTTTTTACAACCCTTAAAAGGAACAATAATCTATATTTTGGGGGGAGAATGAAAATCACTTTAATCCTTAGCTGTCACTATTAAAAACATTTTCTTGGCTAAATGTTTCCGCCACAATTCTAAACTTGATTTTCCCCTTTTAACAACCTAAGCGGTACCGTTTCACACTTTTCACATCACGGAATCGTCTTCGTTCTTCTTTCCAATTAACAATTCGCTTTCAACTTAACAACAGCCGAGCCATAAGAACTATATCATAAAGTTTGTAGAAGTCACACTCGACTGACTACATAATGACAGCTGTTAGCTTTTAGTAAAAACTTAGCCTGACGATGGACAAAAAACATTGCTTCCCTTCAAAAAGGTGGTGACAACACAAACCGATTTAAATCAGACAAGTGAACAAACTCGAAAATCGCGTAAATACGAACGCTCTCAAAACCTGCACCTTAAAACGAGGGGAAAACCTTAACCTTGGGAAAAGGTGATATTGATCGCTAGGTTTATAAAAGTAAAAAAGATATCTACAGGATATGATCTAGAAAACTTAGTCAAGTCCCCGTATGGAATTACATGAAATTCGTCGGCTGCGCGCGGCAAATTCGACGCCTAGGCACTAGCCAGGCAACGCTTTTATCGAAGTTGGCAGAAAACTAGAAAGAACCTATCTGTCTTCCCAGCTGCCCTTTTCGGTTTTGTGTTTGTTTTGTTGTACGAACTTTACCAAAAGTGCAAACGAAGCGCGGACAGGGCTATTTTAAAATCTCCTAAAATTCGAGCAATTTAACTAATTTTGAACTATCTCGTTTGCTAGAAAAATCATGTCCAACATTTGATACGGGTCACAGACTTTGTTTCCTTATAGCGTTACGCCGTGTTTTCACAATAAAAAGAATACTATCATCAGTAAAGTATTCTCTGCTCTTGATATAAAACTCTGAACATATTTTTCTTTTACTGAAGAACATAAAACGGAAGAAAAAACTAAATTAAAGACACTGTATTCAAGATGCAGATTATACCAATACGGCGTTATTGTGATGTAAATGCTCTTCCGTGGGACGACTTCCCAGAGCCAGTTTTCTTCATCGTACTGTAAAAAAAGACTTCAATTCAGTGTTTGACAGTTCCAGCAAATAGAATCAAAATAGAAAATAATATTGGATGACGAGCTATGACGCCTCCACGATAACAAAAATCCGAAAATTATTACGTTTAAGAGCTATTTTAAATACATCTTTTGTTTTCACAATTCGGAGTGCAAAAGACCATACACAGGATTTTCAAGTCGTGCAATGTATATTTCATGCATTTACCTACTTAAAAACTAGTCGGCGATGAAACGCTTCGACTTAAAAATGTAAAACTGGACTGAATCCGTTCTTGTCGTCAGCATGTATGAAAATGATACGGGGGATTACAGATACAAAACCCTAAATAAGTTATCATTTCAATAATGAGATTGCAAGGGAAAGAGGTGAATGCTATTATCCCTTGTAAACGTTGCTTGTTGAAAGCCAAATAAGAAAGCAAACCTTTTCCTCAGTTCGTCGAAGTGCTTCGCCATTAAGTCCTGCTCCATAATGGTGTGTTCCTCGTGAACAGCGCGCCGAATCGCAAATAGATCCGAAAATTAACGTGGGAAGCCGGATAGTATTACTGGTCACTGCAAGAGCTCCATTCAGGACCTATATTTGCGGACATCACAAAGTTATAAAACCGAAATATATTTACGAAAATTTGATACAATGCTAAGAAACTGAAATTTTACTATCGTGATCACCAGTATTTTCATTGAAGTAAAAGAGAAATACTGCTGTCTTAAATCAAAATGACGACGCAATATCTTTCTCAACAAAGCGGCAATTTACCTTCGAGGGAACGTGGGGTTAATGACGCCAGCTATAATTTATATTTATCCTGGTACGAACGTTCATAGATTTTTAAATAAACTTCACTTTATCCTGTCTACAACAATAGAAAAAAACACCCGGTCTACCTTAGAACCGCAAAGAAACGATGTCCACGTTGGCGATCATGTTCTGCTCCGCGAAGTGTTCCAGAAAGTTCTACGCCAAAACAAAGACTCATAAAATGAGGTTTCACTGAATATGTTATCTCGTTTTCGACATGTCGCTTCAAGGCTGTTTGCATAAGAAATAAAACAAGTTTTCTATTTCAGCAAACACTAGAGATAGCGAATGTTCCAGAACTGACAACAAAGGGAAACAATTTTTTTCTTTGTGCGGCTGAATGAATACGGGTACCTGACCCAAAATCAATCATTCTCCGTCAAACAAGACGACTTTTTGTGTTTATATACCATGATTCTTACATTTTATTGCAGTTTTTCTTTCACTACAGTTCTTCATCTTTTTCAATCTTGATATTTCAGATAAAAGATTCAGCAAAAAAACTTGACTTGTTCGAAAGTCATTGATGATTTTAGATGGGCATCCAATACTCGTAGTAAGCTGGATTAGCTTGGATGCTTTTTCACGCTGTTAAACGAATGAAAGAAATTTACGTTACACGAAGAGTATAATAAAATACTTTCTTTCAATTACCACTCCCGCCCACGCGACCACCATTGAAAGCTATTGTACAACTCAAATTGCACAACTTTTCTTCTGAGTATATCCTACGTTAAGCAACCGCACATTGCTGCACTATCAGATAAATTTGTCTAATCCGATAAAAGCATTCGTTGTAACCTATTAACATTTGTTTTTCAAGATTTTTGAAAATGCCGGAGGGCGGATTGGCGCAATAATGAAAAATAGACGTTTTATCTGTTCGACTTTGTTACGAAATTACAAGTCACAAATATACACACCTCAAGTTCACTTATTCTTAAATTATCTATACATTCCTTCTTGAGGTCAAAATAGCTTAAGAATATACTAGTTCAATTTAAGGAAGCGCATATTTGTAGATCTTATAAAGAGGACTTTCATTTCGAACAACACTAACTGCAGCCTACTTTTCAAGCACCGAAATTATGCAAATAATGTCATTAAACTCGACAATGTTCTACATGTAACATATATATACATACTCGGGCATACATGCACATTTAAGAATTACATGAAATGTTACTCTATGAAAGAAGCGGTTAGATTCAGTGTCAAATGTTAAGCGTTGTTTTGACTGGATAGCTTTATCGAATTCAAATGTGGACGGGCGGAATCTGATTTTTTACCAAACAATAGTGATTCATGACAATAAATACAGGGAAACCAACAATACCGCCAGTACCCCAACCGCGCAACACTTAGAAAACACTTTTAACTCAATCGCGCGTAGAAGAGGGTCAAATGGCGCGTTAGTTTCTCTATAATAGAGGAACGCGTGGAAGAAATAAGGCCACTGAAGAAGGAAAAAAAAAAGAAAACCTGGTACAACTGATCTTGAACTACATTCCACACTCAAAGATGATAAATTGGAAGAAATGTCACAAACTTTCACAAGGCACAGTACAAGGCCCATTAAACCGCACATAATATATATAATACAAGGAGGGGAAACATTATTTTAAAAGGTAGAATTGCGAGATATCAATTGCTTCATGTAATTCCAAAACGCCTGCTTCTAAAAGAGCAACGGATTATCTCTTTCAGTCTGTGCCCCTGCTTACCGCTGACATGATAATATAATTGACCTTGCGCCCTGAGGGCCCTGACTCGCTTCCGCGGTTCAACGATATACCACGAAATGCGGTTTGAACCCATGGACACCGGAAATTGTAAAAGGACGAAATCGAAAAGCGAACGGACACGAATGGACTCTTTCCGTTCAGGTTTGCTTGTTCCGGATGAAATTTATACCAATGAATTCTCTGGAACGATCTAGCATCCATTCAGAATGGACCAACAGCAAATTCTCTAACAAAGAAATGTCGCCCCCAAACGGCAGAATACTACACCTGACTTTGCACTGTGTTACTGTATCAGTGTATCTCTGAGTTTGTTATCAGACAAATCGCACATTTCTTTCAGTCGATTTTTTTTATTGAAAAGCGACTACGAACCTACTTTTGCGATTAGCTGGTAAAAAAGGAAAAAAATTCGAGTTCATCGGTTTAATGCCTTTTCACAGTGTATAAATCAAACTGTTGATTTTAGTCAAGAGTTCCAGCTCGATCTTTTTTTTACCGGCGATTTTTTTTTTCATTAGAACAACAACATTACAAGAGAGATGTACAAACACGTGCAGAAGAAGGAAAACGAAATGGAAGAAAAACTCGACTAAAGCGGGCAAAGTGAACAAGAGAACCTAAATGAAAGGTGGCTAATGACGAGACTCTTGGCAAACGAGCATATTATTCTTTTTGTGACAATCGTCTTAAAGTTTTTTTTTTTTTAAGATTTTAACGTTTCGAAACCCCATTAAAATTATTCAGTATTTATTAACTTGACATGTCATGCGCTGCCCGATCATCATGCTATTGGCGTGTATATCTCAATGGGAAAAGCGTATTCCTAAATTTCGCACAATTTTATATGTTTTAGTTTCCGAAGGTACAAATTATCACAGGAAAATTTAAAGTAGGGGAGAAAAAAGTCACAAACCTGCGACCCAGTTGATCCATGAAAAATCGAATCCCTGCCATATTAACGAAGTGAATCGGAGCAAGAAAGACTGGAGACTCGAAGAGCAAGTCAAGCGACGAGTGAATTGCCTAAGAAATGTATTCGACTATAATCGAAGTGCTCTTTTAAAGCAGTCAATCACGTGACTTGGAAGTTTTTTAAAAGCAGCGAACGTCAAAGCTTTTAAGGTATTGTACCGGACCTTTCTGGCAAAATGACTCAGTGTAATTAGCGACACATTTTGAAGATACTTTTGACGGAATACACCGTGACCGGTGTTAATTTATATTCACAACTTCCATTTAAATAGTTGGAAATAACCGATAAGCAGATTCTTCTGGAACAAACGAAAGTTCAATATTTCCGGTAGTTTCAGAGAAAACAAAGATCAAAAGAGTTTCATAAATTAAAGTAACATTGTAACTGAAACACGCGAAAACTTTTCTTTTTCTCGAGGTATTCAAAAACTTAAACTTGACTACAGAATAATTATAAATTTAAAGGATCATTCTGGGAGGATTTACAATAGCTTGGGTCAATTACTATTCAAGGGTCAAGCTGACATCCTTTTGAATTCACCACAGATAAGCGTCGTTTACTTAAGCTGCAGATAAAAACCCGCTCAATACCGGCTTAAAAGAAATTAATTACCATATATTGTCCTTTTCACTCCTGAACAGATGAGGACCGAACATCTTTGGATAAAGGCCGTTCCAGCCGAAATTTCACAATTTTGGAAAGAGTTTGCCGCAGTCATCCAAAACAAACGTTTTACAAAAGCAAAGTTTATACAAATATCTCGGAGAGTTTTGAGACAAATACAAACCGACAGAAAACCACAAAAGATGAAACAATACGATAAGCGAAGTTTCAGTCTGGTTATATACAGACACTTAATTAATCCTTTCTTACTTTAAATAACTTATGAAATAAGTAGAACATTCTACAAGCACCCGCCCACTCGTGGAAAATCAGTATATAAAACGACACAATAATTCAATACAATTATTTCAATGTTATCAGTTATAATGCAACATTTTAACATTTCTATTTTGTACGGGTGTAAACTTCACAACCCGTGGAAAGGCGTACATGTAATTCCTCGCAGAAATAGAAGGTGTAACCCACATTCTTAAACAGTTGCTGTGGATGGGAATAATTTTTAGATTGCAGCTGCGACAAAGGAATGAATGGTCTGATGCAGACGTGTCAAGAGAAGGAATTTTCTAGAGACTTTTAATTACATGGCACAATTGTAGTCAACATTTAAAACAAAGAGGCAATGTAACAAACAAAACAAAATACTATAATATGAATTGCAAGGCGGGTTACTGCTGTGTCCTATATATCTTCTTCTATAATTTCCTTTAACATTAATTAAAGTGCTTTGCGTTATTAAGAATCGTCCACAGCAAAATGGTCGTGATAATTAAAGCGTTTTTCCGGTTTGACCGCCGGCTTTTTTTTCGTACCGCCAATCGCAAAGTAGTGAACCACCATATTGTCTTCTTAGTTTTTAATTTTCATGAAACGAAAAAAAACAGACCTAAGTAGAGATGATCTGATATTAATGACAATGAAGCAGTTCTGCTTTGAGTTCTTATGTAGACCTGATGAGGTCCACTGAAGACATCGATATTTCCACGTGAAAACTGTGCCGTCATACTTTACAAACCGAACGTCATAATCAATTTCCACTGTAGACAGGAACACATTCTACTTTGATGAGCGCGGAACGAGTCATTCTGGCCCATGTAAAGGCCCGTTTACTCACGGAAGGCGACTTTTCGTGCAATTTTTAATGAGATTTGGAGGTCATTTTACACTGAGCGAATTATTGCGAATTCTTAATCGGGGAGCTGCGCGCTTTTAAGAACAGGAAGTTTCTGAGTCGTATCCGCGAGGTTTACGTTAGTAAAAGAAGCTAAAAGAAACTGATACATATTGTTTGATATAAAAAGAAGACAATTATTTTCCGAAAAAAACAAAACGAGTCTGCACCAACTGAAAATCTTTGCCCAAGACTGAGTATGAAAAGTCAAAGAAAACCACTGAGTTCTAAGGGACCGTTCATTTTTTATGGGGTAGGGGGGGCTGGTGGGATTTGGTAGATAGTCTCTGGAGAATATGATGGCCCCCCCTCTTAACCGGATATTTTTTCCCTGGCCCCCCCTTATAAACCTAAATTTTTTTGATGACCCCCCCCTCCCGCCCCGAAAAAAAAAAGAAAAGAAAAGAAAAGCAAAAAGAATGATCAAGTAAAGTTTACCTTATAAGTTTAACACAAAAACTGCAGTTTCAAAAAGTTCTTTCTGAAAAACTGTTTTACCTATGGGACATGTCCTTTGTGTAACGTGACTGTATTTTTAACCCAATAAGTACCCCCAAGTAGGGGGGTTCGGGGGCATTCTCCCCCGAAAAAATTTAGAATTTCAGAACTTCAGAAACGCTATTCTACGCCATTCTGGCAAACATTTTTTAATATTTGTAGATTCGTTTACTGCAGTTTAAATTGAAAATAGAAATATTTAATTTTTAAATATTTACATGTACTGGCCATGGTAATCTGTATTTTCCTTTGATAAACAAGGTGCTGTTTGTTGTTGGAGCGAACTTTCTCAAATAGTTTTGAATTGATGATGTTCCATCAACTACAAACTAGGGGGGTCCTGGGGGCATGCTCCCCCGGGAAAATTTTAGATTTTTAAAACCTC